ATCAATCTGACTGGATGATCTGGTGAACTGGAAAGTGACCTGAGATGACATGATGTGAATTGGAGCTATAGAAATAAAGTGAATAGAATCACTGAAGAGTAGCTGCTGGGCTGCTTCCTTCACTCAATCAAACATTAGTTCAGGTAGAGGAGAGTTGATTCTGGCTGACTGAACTTGGCTCTGTGTGAAGTTCAAAGTGTGGAGAGAGGAGCAGAGCTGCTGATCAGGTTCTGTGTTTACCTTTAAAGGCCTCCATCTGCTGTTGGATCCCGGTGTGCATGCAGAAGTCAAACATCAGCTCCACGTACTCCTCCGCGTTCTCCACCGTCACCATCTGCTCTCACACAATCACATCAACAGGGTCAGATTTAGCAGCCTGAGACAGAAAATCCGGATCATTCGGCGCTGTTACCTCGTCGTCTCCATTTGGTTTGAGGTCTACAGCGGAGAAGCCATGAACCTTGGATGATGGACAGAACTGAAAGTTTAACCTGAAAAAGGAGGAGAAAGGTGTTCAGTTCCCACGGCAGCCTGAACCTGAGCTGCTGCGCTGCTGCACGCCTTTTACCCGAGGTCCTCGATGCTAAGGGGGGGTCCGGAGCCCATGGGGTTCCTCAGCATCAAGTCCTGCAGTCTAGTGTTCTTCTCGTCCTCCGACAAACTCTTACTGGACAAAATCTGTCTCCTCCTCACAGCCAGATCTTTGACCTCCTTCAGGAAAGTTGCTCTGAAGAGAGAAAAAAAAAGAATGTAATGAATCAGGCTGAGCTCTCGCTTTGGTTCAGAGGAGAAGGAAACCGCCGCACTCAGAGAAAGATCACTTTAAAGCTAAAAGATGAGTCTATAAAGACGACAAACTTTCCCCCCCGATAGGTGACAACCTGCAGCCTTTAAGGTTAGGAAGGGATTTCCATTTTAACTTAAACACTAAAGTTTCAACAGGAAGAATTTAGATTCAAATCATTTGAATCTAAAAGTTTCACGTTTTGTCTTCGTCTCCATAAATCCGACCAGTGGAAGAATTCAGATAATCAGCCACCCAATCAGATATCAGCTGGATTATAAAGGATATTTTGGGCCTAAAGGTTTTATAGACCCAAATTTTCTAGATCTTAATGATTCGTTGAGGTGATATTTTAGATTCAGACAGTTCAGCATTAAGAAAACGATGCTGGTAGATGACAGAATAGGGATGAGGTTTAACTCTACAGCAGTAAACATTCACAAACATTGACGTGTTCGTCTCCAGATTTAGTGGTTTCTCGTTAACTGTTACCATGACAACTTCATTTGTCGCTTGGACACATTGATCTGTTTGCTTATGCAACTCTGCCAGCAGCGAACCCATTTTAAGGGCATCGCAGCCACCTAAGAGTCTTAAGCTACGTTCCCACTGCAGGTCTTAACGCTCAATGCTGTGAAATCCGATTATTTTGCGCTGAAGTTCATTTGTAAATATATGCGACCTGCATGTGATCTTAAGTGTCCT